GCTGGTCCGAAAGCCTCAGACGTTACAAAATAATTTGTTTTCAGAAACATCTCAAATCTTGTTCAAATGTGGAACAAAGCCAAGTTTTGATACCTCCAAATTTACAAGGTAGAATTACAGCTGTTCTACAGTTGGCTTCAGTTTGTAGCCTTTGAGATCCTGTCTACATGGGGAAATTTGCCAGAAATTATTATCTCATATACCAGTCAAACTCAAACACTTATTTCAATTAAAAATAGAGCAATATAACTATATTGGTATAATTATGCCAGTAAATTAGGCAAACCCTAACCAGCATGTTGCAGTCTTCATACTTTCCCCATGATTGTGAAAATTATATGGGGCTTAAAGTCTCAGGGAACCCATGTGATTTGTGACATTAGATCTGCATTTGTCTTAATGGTATGAAAACTATACTAATGAAGTCTCACAAGAGCCACACGTTACAAAAACCATTAGCACAAATAAGAGATCAAGAGACATATAACAAACATGGGAATATAGCATTGCTTAGTTTAGAGAAGAATTGCTTAGTTTAAAGAAGAGATGAGAAAAGAGAGGGCATGGAAGAAATTTACAAAATATAAAAAATCACATAAAGAAGATAAACTGGGTACTCCTATTTACTTCCTCAAAGTGCAGGCAAAAATTCAAATAAACTCTCAGGTCAGGTCCCCACCTGCAGGGGTGTGCGGTTTGTGGTGTCACAACCATATCCAGGGATCATGAAAACATGCGCCGTACTGCAAATTTACAGCATGGTGGCAAAATGTGCTACCAGGAAATCCCGGTAGCAAAAAACCCCCAAAAACCAAAAAAACCTCAGGGAGGAAAAAAGCAGGACAGAGCACACATCAGTAGTATGTGCTGGAACAACCAGAGGATTGGCTGTTCAGAGCAATGCTCTGCTGCTGATCAGGCTCTGTGATGCCAGATCTGCACCCCTGCTGCACTAGGACAGCATGTAATACTTCTGGGGCCAGTACAGGTGCTGGCCCCAGCCTTCCCTACCCCTACCCACAACAATTTGCTGCATGCCAAAGCACACATGCAGGGGTGTGCAATAGGGCACAAAGCAGCAGCACAACTTTGTGCCACTGCTTTTTGTGCCTCTACAACAGGGTTAGGCAAAATGCAGCCTGCAGGTCAGAGGTGGCCTACCAGGCTGTTCTATCTGGCCCGTGGGGCCCCTAAAAAATTTAGAAAATTGGTATTTATTTGCCCCTGGCTGCCTGTCATGTGGCCCTAAAATGCTTGCCAAAACTCAGTAAGTGGCCCTCCACCCAAAATAGTTGCTCACACTTGCTCTACAAGCACATGCCCCTGCATGTGGGGACCCACCCTACTGTTGCAACTGTAAAAGTGATAGGATATAATTTTTAATACAGTAGCCAAATTACCCTAAGGAATTTACTGATACGATTTATGACTAAGGCCAAACAGGTTTTAAAACAAGTCCAAAGACAAAAAGGTAAAGCTTACCTTATTAAATTTTCAATATCAAGCACTGAAAAGTTAGGAAAGCCGCATCTCCTAAGGGACTGTCCAAGTCTGCTTTCCGATTGTTTTTAATTATATGAACAGATACTACTTTTTTCCCTACAGGATCCATATTCCTATTTCATTTGGTACACAGGATCAACGCTGATCATTTAATGAGCATGTACATAACATTTTCTTGTTCTCCTCATTGTTCAATGTGCAGCTCCAGGTCCTATTTATTGCATACTAATTAAACCTTGCTCTGCAGACATAATTCTTAGTTTCCTCAGGGGCTTCTCAGGGACACCCATGCGTACAGTATTCTTCAGCTACATCATTGAATTTATCTTTACAATACCCTTTGAGCTGAAGAAGTGGTATCAGTCCCATATTATAGAGGCTGAGGCTCTTCCTCTCCTGTCTCTTAGCTCAGCAAGTGCCAGTTCTCCCCACTTGTGACTCCTCATTCAATCCATTTCTTCTCTTCTCTTCCCTCCCCCTATCCTCCTCCTCACTGGTTCCCATTCTGAGTGTTTTTCCTCTGACTTATCCTCACCCTAACTCTGTCTCCTACTCCTAGTCCCAGTCTATGCTGCTGGCTCCATCTCCCGTTTTCTTTGCCCAGACAGTCCTGTTTTTCCCATGGTCCCTCCAACTCCTCATCGTATTTAAGTGTTCATCACAGCCACCAGTCTTGATGCACAACTAGATACAATCATCCAGTTTTCTTCCAATTTGTCCCTATTTCTTTTTTCTTCAGTTACAGTCTCAACAAATTTCTTGCCCCAAACTACTCCTTTCTCTCCTCCTTGTCTCCAGTCAGATTAGATAGATGGCTAGGGGCCACAGCAAACACAAGAGAAAGTCTCACCACTCTTCATTCCAGTGCCAGGCCAGGAGAAACCAGCAAAGGAAAATTCCATCTGTACTCACAAAGCCCCGGGCTGGAGACAGCCAAGAGTTACGTGTGCAATCTGGTTAGAATTGAGGGACTGGGACCTGTTCAGTCACTCTGATGCTGGCGTATAGGGCAGTCTAATCCAGCAGTGCTCCAGATGAATGGCACAGGGCCGGTCCACGAGCACATGGGGTTGGTGTGTTAAATATGTTCCAGGGATGTATTTAGTAGCCGTGTTAGTCTGAGACAAAAAGAAACGCAAAACTCTAAAACTCTTGGTTCCGAGATTATACCTTTTATTAGATCAACTAAGAAATTGCAAAGAAAAGTAATTTTTTTGTGATTTCTTAGTTGGTCTAATAAAAGGTACAGTCTTTGAACCAAGAGTTTTGGATTTCAGATACGTTTCAGTGCCTCCAGCCCCCTCTCGCATGCAGCCTGACCTCCTGACTGGTAGTGCTCCCCTGCACCTGGAACCCAGGAGAGCCAGGACACAGGTCTGTAGGCTGGAGGGTGGGCACTGCCGCTGTGGCTACTACTGGGAGCTGGAAAGGACTGAGCCAGTCTGCGAGACTGGACTCTGCTGAGACTTAGTGCTGGGGCTGCATCCCAGCCCCTGCCCAGAAACCCGGGAGCATTGCCACAGCTTGGGGACATGATGGGCAGGGCCAGACACTGGCATAGGTAAACCAGGCGGCTGCCCAGGGCCTGGATAGAAAGGGGGCCCAAAAATGGTGAAAAGAATTATTCCATAAGGTAAGCATAAAGCCAGGACCTTCCCACCCCAGCAACTAAGTGGGAGACTCATGAATTCTGTGTGCCCCTGGAGACTGAGGGGCACAGCGAGCTCCCGCAAGCGGTGGGAGCGTGCCGGAGGCAAGTGGGGAGCCGCTGCAGGCTGCCCCAGTGCTGCTGGCAGCAGGGGGCAGGCGGGAGTGGTGAGTGCCAACCAGTGGTTGGCAACCACGCACAGACACCGCTGGTAGCACTGGCAGTGATCATTAGCGATTGCGGACTGCCCAGACACCACCAACGATGCTGGCAGCAAGGGGCAGGGATGGAGAGCAGCAACCGCCTGAAGGTGCCACTGAGCATTGGTAGCACCTCTTCGCAGGGAGTGCAGCGCCACACTCAAGGGGGTGCACGTGTCACTAATGGGGAGACTCCTCCCTAGCTGGCTCCTGCAGCCTTACAGCTGAGGGCAAGCAAAACCCCGGGGGCATCCGAACCCCAAGCCTTCAGGCTTGGGCCCACACATAGGATGCCTGCCAAAAGATTTGGAAACACCTGAGGCCCCGGACGGGGGTGGAGGATGTTTGCCCGTAGTAAGGCCACTTACAGTTCTGGACCAACTCACAGATTTAGAATTTGATTTTGGCTTTTCCTAGATACCAGGTTCAGAATGGACCTCAACAGATCACCAAGTCTGACCCCCTGCCTAGGCAGCAAAGATATCTGGGGTCAGATGATCCCAGCCTTGGGACACGGAAAAATGTGTAATAATAATAATAAAAAAGAAATGAAAATAATGATTATTATTATCATGATCTCTGGCGCAAGGGGGGCCGATGTACTAAAAGTTCACCGGGGGCCACCAGGAGTCTGGGTACGGCGCTGATCACGGGGAACCTGCCTGTCCCTCTTGAGTTTTCCTAGACTTCAGGAAGGCTTTTGATACTGTCTCTCACCCCATTCTCATTAGGAAGCTGGGGGACTGTGGCGTAGACACCCATACAGTCCA